CTCGGTGGCCAAGGCGGGTCCACACCCACGTGGCTGTGGCCGGGCCGAGGGAGAGGTGGGACCAGGTGGGGCCAGGGGGGCTGCAGTGGCGTGGCTGTGCCCCTGGCCCGGGCTGCTGTCCCCAGCACCGCACTGCAGGGCTCACCAGCTGAACACGTCCCTGCAGACCTGGAGGCTGGGGTCCCTGCCCCAGCAGGCGCCCAGCGCCCTCAGCCTCTCTGTGGCTTGTGACTGCATGGCTCCAGGGACGCTGGGTCTCCTCTGCTAACCCCCGCTGCCCAACTCTGTGTCCACCAAGCTGAGGTGCTGGGCACCAGGCTGCAGCACACGGCGGACTCGGGACACAGTCGGCCCGCGGCCACCACTGTGCCCCTCCACGTGGGCAGGCATCATGGAGCATCTGCAGCCCCCCACGGGGAAGCTGAGGCGCTGAGGGATGGGTCCCGGAAGCAGGCTAGCTGTGCTGGGGGGACTGTCCCCTGCCATCGTGAGCAGGCTGGACGCTGCCTGGGGCAGTGGGCTTGGCCTTCCCAAGGCAGGGACACTCTCCTCTTCTCTTGGGACCACCAAACTCCACCCCCTTGGGGGCACAGGCTTTGGTGACAGGAAGGGACTCTGCCACACCCCGTGGCCACGGCCACGTAGAATCAGGGATCTTCACGCCTGCTCAGGACTAATGTCCGGCTCCATCCCAGCATGCTGTGTGACACTGGGCAACTTACCTGCCCTCTCTGGGCCAAGGCTTCCTGTTTGTAAATCAAGGGCATCAACCCGGCATTGCAAGGACTCCGTCTGTGTATGTAAAAAGTCATCCAGTCCCACCAGCTCTTTCCTTCTGTTTCACCAGAGCTTCATGGGCTTTAAAGCAACATCAGACGACAGAAAGTGCAAGGCCAGCTACCTAGATGATCTAAACTCCCTGGTGGAGAGGTTAAAGAAGCAAGCACACGGGAGAGGCGCAGATAGTGAGAGCATCGTCAAGCCCACTGCGTTCAAAGTGAGGGCCGCCCCAGCTGTGGTGGGCGGGGCAATGTGGAGACAGTCTCTGCTCTTGGGACGAGAGTCTGAAATGTGCCTCCTTCCCGCGTCCCCTGTCACTTTGGCACATGGGGACCCGTGGCTGGCACCCAGCAGAGACCACTGTTTAGAATATAGGGTTAGGGGCTGGGGATTTAGCTCAGCGGCACAGCGCCTGCCTGGCAAGTGCAAGGTCGTGAGTTCGATTCTCGGTACCTGGAAAAAAAAAAAAAAGAACACGGGGTGCAGGGCAGGCCACATACTTCCCCTCATGGCCCGGAGACCCCAGCCGTGGAGGAGGCACCTGCCCCAGGTCCCAAGGAAGTCCCAAGGAGTGCACGCTGGTGGGGACCTGGGCCTCCGAGGGGATCCCCGGGCCCTCGAAGCTCTGTGCATGGGGTGAGGGCGGGGCAAAGAGTCCAGCGCTGTGGAGACCAAGATCCGCCAGGCCATGGTGATGGTGCCCGGGGGCAGGGCGGTGCTGCCTGTCCCTTCTCGTGTGAGCACCGAGGAGGAGGCCCGTCCCAGTCATCATCCCCGGTCCCCAGGGACCTCGGCGCAGCGCCCCACATGGGCGGGGAGAGGAAGCGAGGAGCAGCGCTTAGCTGCGTAGCCCTGCGCTGTCTCCGCGGGTAGCAGGATCCAGACTCCGTCCTCCTGTGGGACTTGGCGTTAGAATCGTCCCCAGCCTGCTCCTGTGCATCGGGCAGGAGCTAGGAGAGGCTTGTTCTCTGCAGCTCCTGAGCAGGCACTGTTCCTTTTCTCGGCTGAATACTAGTCCTCACATAGATTGCCTGTTTCCACCCCTTGATGGGCGTGTCCTCTTGGCGGCGTGTAGACACCGCTGCTGCGACCAGCCATGTTCTGTCTTTTTGTGGACGCATGCTGAAAGCCTTGGGAGGAAGCCCCGCACTGTGTTTCTGAGGACCTGCCGGGCTGTGTCCCAGCCTGCAGCTGCGTATGTGGCCCAAACTGCAGGCTGACAGCCTTCCCAGCTGTCCTTTGCGACCTGCATCTCAGCGTCCACTTGCTGCAGCTGAGCTAGCAGAGGCCCTGCTGAGGGCGGCAGGGTGGGCAGATCAGGGTGGGAGCAGAGAGGTCCCCGTCCTGAGCGCGGAGAAGCCAGAGATAGGCAGAGGGGTCTGGCCTGGAGCTGCCCAGGGCAGGGGCGCCAACCCCTCGCTGGGTACAGAGCCAGCATGGTGGAGGCAGCTGCCTGCAGAGGGCTCAGGAACGGTCAGCTGAGTCCCACGGCCTGTGCCCAGGTAGCCCCGCTCTGAGGCTAGGGCTGGGTGCCCGGGGACACTGCCCTTCCAGGCACGGCCAGCTTCCACAGCCGTGAGTTGGCCCCCAGCGTCAGGGCCTCACTGCCTCCATGCCCCGCTGTCCTGCTGCTGAGCTGGCTCCGGCTCTGGGCCACGGACTTGGTCCACCAGCCCCATGCGCCCGGCCAGGCAACACCGGGCACGGGGCCTGGGCGGCGGCCAGCAGCCTGTGTGTGACCACGAAGCCCGGGGCCCCTCCCTGCAGAGCAGCTGCTGGGCACAAGCATGCAGGGGTTGTCTGACCTGGACCGAAGCTGGCGCCTGCCCTGGAGCTGCATCCCTACGCCTGCTAATTTGTTGTTTGTTTTTTTTTAATTTTGAGGCAGGGTCTTGTCATTTGCCCAGGCTGGGCTCAAACTTGGTCTCAGCCTCCCAGAGTGAATTTCTTTGTTTAAAGAATTAGGCAGTGGGCCTGGCCCCAGCCTGGCCATCGCCCAGCTTTCTGTGCCCCCGCTGCGGTCAGCGTTTCCCAAACATCTGTGGCTGGAGTCCCACCAGGGTCTGCTCCGCCTGGCCGCTCCTTACGGGCCACGTTTCCAGTTCACCCACGTCTCTCCGTGCTCGGTCGCTCGTTTCTTTTCCGGCCTGGCACAGTGACTCCCCACACCGCGGGGACAGACCGTGGACCGTGAACCCGTGCCCTGCTGCGGGCCCCTGGCCAGCTTGCATCAGAGCCCTAAACCAGCCGTGGACACCCACATGCAGGCGCCGGTGCGGATGCGCTTTGAGCTCACCCGGGCCAGCCCTGGAGCTGCGGCCGGAGCCGCGGGGAGACGCAGTCCACACACCAGTCTGGGGCTTCACCTGGGCACCGGCCTTCATCCATCTCCAGCCCTTTTTAAAGTTTGAGACAGGTTGCTAAGTGACCCAGGCTGGGCTTGAACTTTCATTCCTCCTGCCTCAGCCTCCCTGTGCTGGGGTCGCAGGCCGGCCCCTGTGTCCAGATTCACCTCTGTGCAGCGCTGTGACCAGCAGCTGCTCTGGTCACCGTGAATCTACTGCTGCTGGTGCCTGGCCCAGGCCAGCTGCCCCCAGGTGCGGCCTGGGCGCCGTCCTCCATCCCGGGCTGTGAGGGCGGAGCGTCCAGGCCGCTGGTTCCTTTTGATTTCTGCCCGCAGTGGTGCTGTGGGGGGTCCCGGGGCTGAGGGCAGCAGGGAGGCTGGGTGGTCCATGGGGAGGAGGTGCCATCCGGGAGGGCTGCCTGGTGGAGCTAAGACTAACATCTGACCTGGGACTGGCAGAGGATGAGGGGTCCCTCCCTGTGCCAGCGCCGCCAGCCCCAGCCCGGCCCCCGCTGCCTGCTCCCTGCCTCATCCCAGCCCATCAGATTCCAGCCTTCCCGCCACCCCAGCACCATCTGTCCCTCTCCGCAGTGCCCACCAGACTGACCGCCCCGGCCAGGCCCCGCTGGGAGGGGCTGGGGTCCTGAGCTTGGGCTCCCCAGACCAGAAACGGGCAGGAGCCGGGTGCAGGGAGCTGGTCTTGGGGTGCAGAGTCCATGTGAAGCAGATGGGAAGGCCAGGCAGGGAAGGTGGGGGCCGGCCAGGGACCAGCCGGGGGAACCTGGCCCTGCAGGACACTTCCTGAGGGGACCTGGACAGTAGTCATGGGCTGCCGGCGAGCCTGGGGGTGTGGACAACCAGGAGATGGGGTTGGCACTGCCCCGGGACAGAAGCACAGAGGGGGCACGGGGGTACATGGAGGGACATGGAGGGGGCACGGGGGTACATGGAGGGACATGGAGGGGACACGGGGGGATGTGGAGGGGACACGGAGGGGACACAGAAGGGACAAGGGGGACTGTACTGGCTCTTGGCCCGGGTCTGAGGGGCGGCCCGCTGCTGTGTGGGCGTCCTCCCTGCACAGTCCCACACGGCCCACGCCTGGTCTCTGGGGCCCCCCGGAGCCCTGCACGGGGCAGGTCTGTGAGGTCGAGGGGACACAGGGTGGCCTGGAATGGGCCGCTTGGGGACACTTGCACCACCAGAGCCTGATGGACGCCAGCCCTCGGGCCTGGGAAGCAGCTGACCCTGCTGAAAGGCAGATGGCGTTCAGCCTCTGGGGCTCCCGGAGAGACCCACACGGCCCGCTCCAGGCACTGAGCTCCGAAACGCCAGCTGTGAGAGCCTCAGCCTCTTTCCAGCTGCACAGCTGCGCTGTGTGACTCTGAGAGCCCTGGCCCTCTCTGGCCCAAGGTTCCTTCACTGGGAAAGCAAAGGCTGGGACCAAGCCGTCCTCACTTCCTGACTCGAAAGGCAGCTTCTGTGTGGGGGACGCCTGAGTGTCACGGAACAGTCGCTTGGGGCCCCAGATCTGCAGTGGAGAAAGGGGGTGCAGGGCGGGTGTCAGCCAGATTCTCAGCCTGAGGCGGCTTGGAACCTGAGCCTGCTGCTTGCACCTTTGTCTCGTCCACATCGGCTGCCCCAACTTCACCTTGGGGAGCAGAGTAAAGCTTTCTCAGAGGAGAGGCAGGGAAGCACGCGCTGGCTCAGCGAGCCCCGCCTCAGGCTGGGCCGAGCCAGGGTTTCTTCCAAGCCTTCCATGTTAGGAGGGAGGACGGGAGAGGGAGGTGCGCCCGGAACAAGCTCGGAATTAGCTCTTCACTGCTTCCTGTGTGTGAAAGTCTCCCCCGCTCCGGGCTCCTGTGAACTCCTACCGTACAAATCGGAACAATTTTTGACAAGATTTTTGAGTTTTGTCAGATGTGAATTGTTAAGATTTAATTGAAAAAATGAACAGAACGCGGCAGCTATTTCGAAGGGAGTGACCCAGAACCAATTAGAATGGAGTAACAATTGAGCATTCTCCGCCAAGAAATCCGCATCGGGGATCAGATTAGAGCCGCCGCAGCCCCGCCCGCCCGCTCCCCAACTCCAAATATCATTAGTGAGAGACTGCCAGGAATTGCTTTTCCCGATCAATTTTCCTAGTTTTGAAGGTGAAGTTTACCCGGGGACCGTGCGGAGGGCGCTGGCCGGTCACCTCCGGGCAGGCGACGGACAACGTGGGGACCATCCTGAAAAAACAGGTCAGGCCGGCAGCATTCCTGGCCAAATTGCTCTTGACAGTCCAGACAGGCCAGGGGGAGGGCCAGAGAAAGGGCCTTTCATCTGAGGGGCATGGCGCATAATTGGTCATTCTTTCCTCCTGGGCCTCTTCTCAGCTGGGGGAAAATTCCCCGCTAAAACAGAGCTTCCCTGGGCAACTTCTTAATCCCTCCTGGCAGGTGCAGGGGAGGTGTCGACCGCCTCCAGCGGGCATGGGGCCTGGCACGGACTGGGCGAGTAGTAGGTGCTTATGAAAGAGGAGCAGGTGAACCGTTGTGTGGGGTCAGCGGCTGAGTCCCCAGCTTGGGCTACAGCACACAAGTAGTCACAAAGCAATGAGGCAGGTACTATGACATTAGCATGCCTGTAATCCCAGCACTTGGGAGGCTGAGGCAGGAGGAGCCCTCAGAGTTCAAGGCCAGCTTGGATTACATAGTGAGTTCAAGGCCAGCCTGGACTGCATAGTGAGATCCTGTCTCAAAACAATAACAACAGCAACAAATTAGCAGCCCCGAGGGTCAAAAGTGGGAAATAGTGTGAGTTGCCAGTTAAGAAACAAAGACATCCACACAGCGCACAGCTGTAATCCTTCCCTAGGTGTCAGACCCCTGGTGACCCCACAGAACACAGTGACTCTGGCCAGGGGCTATTTAACTACACAAGGCGCGTAGCAGAAAGGAGGTGCTCCCAGAGACCCTCCTGCCTCTGCTGCGACCCCGTTTAGATGAAAAACTTATCTTTTGTGAGCATCTCACAGGATGAAGCCCTGATGGAACACTACCTAGCAAGGATGGGACAGCCTTCTGCAGTTCTGAAGTAACTTCTAAGTGGCGTGGGCACAGACACAATTGCCACGGCCTAAAGCCTGGGAGGCCGGCTGGCGCTCGGGGCCGACGCCTCCTCGCTCCATCTGCTCTGCAACAGATGCGACTTGGACCTCCACCTGGCCTGTGTGGTTGATGAATCTGCCCGTCATGGTGCAAAGTGCAAGGACCGTGGGGTCTGGCAGGCCTGGCTGCAGCTGCCGGTGTCTTCTGATTGGCTCCAAGCCCTGAGCTCCTTCCTGTGCCCACCCTATCCCTGACTGAGTCCTCCCCACGGCTGCAGGTGACCTCGACCTTCCGAGCACACAGTGGGCCTGGGGTACGCGTGCGGCCTTGTGCCACACCCCGTGGCGCCCCAGAAGGGGCACCAAGCATTGGGAAGGCTGCGTGGCCTGCTGGTCCTGCCTGGAGTAGGGGCTGCCGGCGTCTGTGGCCCCGGGTGTGGCTGGACTGGCCCGTGGCTCCTGCCGTCTGGTGCTGGCAGACCTGGGCATCCAGAAGCTGAGCCCACCCTGCTCTGCGGCCCCAGATGGGCGGGGAGCTGAACCCAGAAACAAGTGTGCCCTGGACTGGGTTCAGCAGGGTCCCTGGCGTGAGTCCCAGAGAGTGACGCAAGGGTTTGCTGCTGCTACCGAGTGGGGCCTCAGTTTTTAAACTCAATTCTTTCCACGGTTCTGGTCCAAAACCGAATCGGACGAGAACTGAATCAGATTCACTGGTTAGGTTCATTGCTGACCCTGTGGGGAAAGCTGACTCGGTTCTCGTCCAGTTGGGTTTGCAGCCGGGATTGTGGAGAGGATTAAGTTCAAGAACCGAGGCCCTACTGCATTTCATCATCATCGTCCCTATTGTTGTTAGTAATTCTTTTTGAGATACTGGGGATTGAACTCAGGGCCTTCACACTGAGCTACGTCCCCAGCTCCTCTTTTAGTTTTTCTCTGAGACTAGCTTCCTTAAGTCACAAATTTTGCCCAGGCTGGGCTCACACTTGCTGTCCTCCTGCCTCAGCCTCCCAGCGTGCAGGGGTTATAGGTGTGAGCCGCCTCTCCAGGCTTCATTATTATTTTTGTTTTGTTTTGTTTTTTTCCAGTACCAGGAATCGAACTCACAACCTTGCCCTTGCCAGGCAGGTGCTGTGCCACTGAGCTAAATCCCCAGCCCCTCATTATTTTTTTTAATGCCACCTTGAGGATGTCCTGAAGCCAGCCACACCCAGTTCCATGGCGCCCGTCATTGTCAGCATCAAGGCCTCCTCCCTTGGACCCCCAGCTCCCCGAAACTCGGGGCCTCAGGTCCTGAAGTCTCCCTGGTGGACAGTTCGACTCCCCCACGTGCCTTGAAGTTGCTGAGAAATTGAGAGTGATCTCAAATTGAGAGTGCCTGGGATCTTCGAGTGAGGCCCCGACAGGAGCCAGGCTATATCTTTAGGGGAGGGGGTTTGAGAACCTGGGGACGTGCTCTCAGGAAGAGGAGATACAGGTCTCATGTGGCCCTGGGCCAGTGCTAGGGATGGCAAGGGAAGCAGCCACTTCACCTGTGTTTCAGGAGAGACAGAGTTGCTGGGAGCAGCAAATGCTCTGTGAGGTAGTGAGCTGCCCATCCCGGGAGGTATACAAGAAGCTGGTGTTGTGTGCACACTCTTTGGTTGCCTGGGCAGATGCAGGCCCAGATGGCAGCCGTGGTGGTGGTGGATGGGCTGGATAGAAAACCTTTTAAGATTCCCCTCCAGCCCAGAGAGTATGGAATTCCCTTTGTCTGATGGGGCCAAGCACTGGAAACGTGGTCCTCATTTGAGGCTTCCCATCAAGGCCGCTGGGGGCTGCCCAGTTCGTATCCAGCGGCCAGGCCTGGTCTGAATTAGTGCCACGTTGGGGCCGGCGCAGGTCCGGCCTGCAGGTGCCGTCAAGGGGAACCAGAGCCTCCATGGAGCAGCCAGGGGTCCCCGCCTCAGCTGGGTTTGGGGAGACTGGGGCGGCCAGGGTGAATCAGCCAGGGCCATCAGCACCCTCCCCTCCCGCTCCCGGCTGGGCTGGGTGCCCCCAAACCACCTCATCTGAGCCTCGCCTGGCAGAGCGTGGGGTGGGTGACCCCCAGGAAAAGCTTGGGTTGTGATGTCCACACGTGCCACTTCTCTGAGGGATGCCGTAGCCACACTCAGCCACGTGGCTGCAGGTTCCTGGAGAGGCCTCCGGCTGCCACTTTAATAGCCCACTGTTATAAATGTGCTCCCCTGCGAGGTGAAGGGCAGGAAGCCACAGGGCGGCTCACCCTCGAGGCCCCACATCAAGGCCAGCAGCACCCCGCGGCCACGGGACACAGACGGACACACTGGGGCGCCAAGGGGCACGAAGTGAGCAACACAGCCTCACACTGCGAATTTCCTGGGTCTCTGATGCCCGTGAAACTGCTGTGCAGATGTGCAACTTTGTCCTGCGTGGTTTTGAAAACCGACGGGAGCTCTGTGTACACGGCTCACGTTGCTCGCTGCCACGGAGGGTGGAGGGTGTCACCATCCCGGGGTGCCTGGGGTGCTGAGAAGCCCGCTCTGACCCTCCTGTCCCCATCCCGGCTGCAAACCTTGTCCTCTTTGCAGAACTCAGACACAGGAGCTCAACACCCTCCCTGTGGAAACCAGGGTCCCAGCTGGGGTTGGGGCAACCTCGCCTGCCTGGGCTGACACCCACAGACCCTGCTGGGGGACGCTCTGGATTTTGTCTCCCTGGCTCTGATTTGCACCACTTGCTTGCTGTGGGGCCTCAGTTTGGCCAGCTGGAAAGTGGAAACAAGGGCCTCTCTTGCGGGTGTTGTGAGGTGTTGTGAGGTGCATAGGAGTTCCTTGTGCCTGGGGAAGAAAAACAACACGATTAATTCCTTTTCACCTTCAGTGTAGAAACCCAGGAGCTGAGGCCGCCAGAGGAAGGGAGTTTGGAACCCAGGACCCAGGCCTCGTACTCCCCACTCGGCCCTGGAGACCTGCACGTGGGGGCCTAGGACCCCGCCCCGCCCAGATTCCCCCGTGCCGGGATGGGGGCTGTGCCCACCTCCCTAGAGCCAGCAGCGGGCTGGAAGAGAAAAAGCTTGAAATTGAATCCTCCGCGGCTTGGGGGTCAGGGAGCAGACCCCCACATTTTCTCCACTGTCAAAACCCCCGTAGGATTTTCTTGAAGTTCAGTTTCACATCATCTGGCTGAACATTTGGAACTTTTTAAACGGAAATTGTAGAAAAAATGAGAAGCATTTTCATCTCGGAACACAATACCTTCCTGGCGGGGAGCCCCGGGGAGAAGCCGCGGCCGCCTGGGTGGAGAAGAACCCAGGTCATTGTCAATCTGGATTAATCCGAGTTCTTCCGCCGAGCGAGCCGGTGCCGGGCAGAGCCGGCTAATCAGGGTGTCTCTGCACCCGTCCGGCTCCTGCTCGCACTTCTGCCAGTCTGCCCGGCAGCCTCCCTCACTGTGAGCGCCTTGCATCCACCCGACAGGACCGCACCCCAGGGAGCGTGGCATCCGGGCACTGGGGACTCCAGCCTGGAGTTTGGCATGGGCTCAGTGGACAGGGACACCAGAGGGCAGGGCGGGCAAGCAGCTGGTGTCACCTGGTTCCGAGGGCTGGTGCCACAGCCCTGGCCTCCGAAGATGCGCAGTGGTGGTCTCCAGGGTCCCTCAGAGTTCTGCCAGGGAGACAGCTGGGCCCATTTCACAGACTGAGGGACAGAGGCAGTGGGAGGATCTCCCAGCCCACAGTATCAGCCACAAGCCGGACAGCGGCCCTGGTCCAGGTGGAGGCAGTACAGGGGGCTCTTCCGACATCCCCTCCCCGTCCAGGCGTTGGGACCTCCCCACACACCTGCAGCGGCGGCAGGCGGAGATGGTGGTTTGAGGGGCAGCGACGGGGGTGACTGAATTAACACGGAGCAGAGGACAGCTCGGGCTGTGTGGTTCAGGGCCTCGCCTCTAATGGGCAGGACTTGCCTGGGGGCACTCAGCCCTCAGCACCTGCGTCCAGAGGCTTCGGGCCGGCTGCACCTCCTTCCCCGCCCCGCTGAGCAGCCGCTGTGGCCACGTCCTGGTCTCGGTGGAGGCTGTCGTAACTCCGTGTTGATCCCCGAGTTCCTCGGGCCATCAGTGGGTGCTCTGTAGGAGAAGTGTGGAGCCCATTCCACCTGGTGGACCAGCCCGACATTCGTCCTGCCCTTGGAAGTGTGTGGTCTAGGGGAGCTGCTTGTCAACAGGAAGCAAGTGGTCGCCTCTGCCCAGGCCCCTGGAGGGCTTCTCAGAGGAGGTGTCACCTCAGAAAGTCCTTGATTGTCGGATGCACCCGTGCCTGGAGCAGCGAAAGCGGAACAGGATGGCCGTGCTGGGCCAGGGCAGGGCTGGTCAAGGGTGCCTGCTGAGGTCTGCGGGCCCTGACCGGCTCAGAAGGGCCTTGTCCAGCAGTGCACCGGTCACCTCCCTGTTGGTGGGTGGGGGGAGGGCTGAGAGGACCCACTTAGGACAGGGACCACCAGGGCTCCCGGGGGTCACGGCAGCCGCCAGTGGCAAGGGACAAGGACGCAGGGGAGGAGTGAAGGGGACGAGGGCTCCGGAGGACTCAAGCGCGGCTGCAGCACAGGCGGCCACACCAGCGACTTCCGCAGGGACAGTTGAGCGGGCCGTCAGGAAGTGTGCCAGCTCCCAGTGACCCCAGCGCTGGCGCAGCGTCCCAGGCTGAGCGTGCGCGGCTCCCGGGTCAGCCTGGCCCCGAGGCTCCTGAGCGCCTCGCTGCCCCTGGACAGCCCCTGGGACATCGCGGCCCTTGGGACGTCTGTGCCCATGGTGCCGGGGCAGCCCACGTGCCCGCAGCCTTCCTTGCTCAGCCAAGAGGGCTCTGCCAGGCACAGATCCACATCTGGGCCAGATGTGCAGGTGCCCAGCAACGTCCTCGCAGGGAATGATCGTGAGCTCTGGGAGGTAGATCCCCGCTGTGTTCACTTCAGGGAAGCGGAGGTCTGCAGACCCAGGGGCGGAGGCGGGCGGTGGCGCTCCTGACCTCTCTCAGCGAGCTCCCTGTGGTGCCCAGGGCTGTTCCTGCGGCTCCCTGGGTGCTTCCCTGCGCTGACTCCCCCAGCGTCGGTGGGAGGCCTGTGGGCGTGGAGTGGCCGTCCTGGAACCTACGATGGCTGTCTGGATGTCCCAAGTGCTGCCTCAGTGCACACACCATCCTTGGGCCTGGTTGCTGGGGGAAGGTTGTGAGTGAAATATGAAAAACACCCATTAGGGCGTGTTCTCAGGAGGAATCTCTTCTGGTTAGATGGCGGTGCTGGGCTCCTGTGCTTGGGGGACAGGTCTCTGTTCTTGCTGTAAACAGAGTCTGCTTGGCCGCCACCCCGCCAGCTCCTCTGGGCCTGCCGAGCTATTTGAGGCACACCGGGATCATTCCCTCTTCCTGTGTCCCCAGCCTTCCCAGCCTTCTCCATTCTCTCTGTCAGCCGTACTCAAATACCCACCAGTGTGGCTCCTCGTGGTGGCCCTCCCTGCTCACGAGGCAGGGGCTGGAAGATCTGTGACAGCAGTGTCACCTTCTCTGCACGTGGCATCCGTTCCCAGGTGTGCTCGGGGGCCCACGCCTCGCTGTGTCTGGCTAGCACTCCTTGGCGGGAGCAGGGTGCACCCATTCCCTGCCCCAGCCTTAGGGGCTGTGTAAGCTTTAAGAAAGTCTCTGGATCAGTATTTCTCCTTATGGTTTATATTTTTGGGCATCATAATTATATTTTTTTCCTAAAGGTTTCAAAGCTTTTTTCCCATTTATCTTTAATCCACCTGGAATTCAGTCCGGTGTGTGGTGTGAGGCAGGGATGCAACGTTATTTTTTTGCTGCATGGAAAACCAGTTTTCCTGAACCACTCCAGAATTTCCTCCTTCCCCTGCTGATAGTGGTCCTGTCCCTGTCAAAAGTCAAGTTTCCACACCCACAAGTTATTTTTGCAGGCTGTGCTGTTTCCATCTCTCTCAGCTCACCCCGACCCACTCATACATTGACCTAATTGCTGTACATTTTGTTTGATTGATAGACTTTTAGTTTAGAGCAATTTTAGGTCACAGCAAAATAGAGCAGAAGGTACCTGCAGAGATTTCCCGCATCCCCACTGCTCCTGTCCGCACAGCCTCCCCCATGTCCCTGCAGAGGGTACATTCGCACCATCAGTGAACCAAGCACTACCCCAGGCTCAGGGTCACACTTAGCCCCACATCCTCCATAGGTCTGGAGGATGGTGCGAGGACTCGAATCCACCACTCGTTTTTAGTGGCACTGTTGTGGCTAGCCTAATGTCCTGAGCTGTTCAAAACATTTTCCTTTCATGTCATTTTGACTTTGGGGAAAAGCCGGAAGTCACATGGTGCCAGATCCGGTGACTAAGGTGGATGAGGGCGCAGTGTCATGTTTTCACCAGCTGCCTTTCTGCTGGATGGCGCTGGGCACCAGCGTTCACTGGAGTTCTGATTGTGTCTTCTAAAGGTACATCTTTCTTGAGTATCTACTTCAGAAAGTGGCAAGAACCATGGGGTGTGTTTGAAGTGAAGGGGAGGATTTTGCAGGGACATAATGGCAACTTTTTTTTAGAACTAAAATTAATTTTTAAAAAGTTGAACATTCACTGTATATTGGGATCACCCCTTGCATCTTTGCTGTATTGTATTGCTTTACCTCCTTTGCCAAAGAAAGGTTGGAGGATGTATGTATGTATTTTTATGTCATTACATTTATTGGTACATTTTAGATGTACATAATGATCATATTCATCACGGGGAATTTGTACCTGTACATGATATATTTTGATTTCTTTATTGGGGGGGGTGATGATATTTATATGGGACTCTTTTGGGCTCTGTTCTGGGACATTGCTTGCTTGTTCATTCCTCCGCCATGAGCACTCCATCTTTCCTACTGTAGCTCTACAGTCAGCTTTGGCATCAGGTGGTCCGGGCCCTAGCTTTGTTCTGCGTCAGCACTGTGACGGCTCACCTGGGTCTTTGGTCCTCCCGTATAACTTTGGAATTGGTTTGCTGATATCCACAAGATAGCTTACTGGGAGTTTGATTGAAATGGCGTTGGGTCTATAGACCCAGTGGGAAGGACTCTGACAATTTTGAGCCCTCTCCACTTTCATGAACTGTTTTCTCACTCATTTTAATTTTTCCTTCATCAGAGTTTTGTGGTTGTCCATCTACAAACCTTACACATATTTTGTTAAGCTAATGCTCATTGGCTCTGTGTGCCACTATAAATGATACTATATTTTTAATTTCAAATTCTACTTGTTCATTGCTGGTAGCTAGGAAAATGATGGACTTTTGTATATTAATCTTATATCCTGCAACCTTGCTTTGATTTTCCATTAGTTCCAGCATATTTTTGTTTTTTTACAGTTCTTTTAGATTTTCTACATAGACAATCATGTCTTCTGTGGACAATGGCAATGACAGTGATACTTTTCTTACTTTCCAATATATTCATTTCATTTCCTTTTCATGTTATATTGCTTTGGACAGGAGTTGCAGAATGATTTTGAAAAGCAGTGATATGAAAAGACATGCTTGCCTCATCCCTTATCTTGGAAGAAAAGTTTGAACTTCTCAAATTAAATATGATGTTAGTTGTAGGATTGTATTTTTCTTGAGACAAAGTCAGGATATGTAGTTCAGGCTGTCCTTAAACTCACTGTATAACCCAGGCTAGCCTCTAACGCACAGCGATCCTCCTGCCTCAGCCTCCTAAGTGCTAGGACTACAGGTGTGCATCACCACACTTGGCAATTATAAGTTATTTCAAGCATTCTTTTTTGATTTGAAAAATTCCCCTCTTCCTAGATTTGTGAAAGGTATTTTTTAAAATTATGAGTGGATATTAGATCTTTTTTTTTTTTTTTTTTTTTGAGACAGGGTCTTGCTATGTAGTTTAGGCTGGCTTTGAACTCACTATGTAGCCCAAGCTGGCCTTGAACTCACAGCAATCCTCCTGCCTCAGCCTACTGAGTGCTGGGATTAGTTATGTGCCACCACGCCTGGCTTTGGGTATTGGATTTTGTAAATTTTTTTGCATCTATTGGTGTGATAATGGTTGTTTTCTTCCTTAGCCTGTTGGTGTGATTAATTACATAAATTATTTTTGTTCTTTGTGATACTCGGATTGAACCTAGGGGCACCCTACCCCTGAGTTAATCCCCAGCCCTCAATGGATTTTTGAATGCTGCATCCATGAGATAAATCCCACTTGATCATTGTGTGTGATTCTTTCTATAGATTGTTGGATTCTATTTGACAATACTTCGAGAGTTTTGCAACCAGCCTCATGGGAGGTGTCATCCTGTGAAGCTGTATCTCATGACCCGCATGGGGTCTGTCTTAGTGACTGCTGAGTGTGAGCTTGAGAAGAGTGAACCCCCTTCCAGGGATGAAGTGGTCCACAGACGTCAACAGTACCTGCTGACCAATGGCACTGTTCAATTCAGTTATGTCCCTCTTCGCTCCTTGTCTGCCACTCTGCAGTTCTGGCCGGTGGGTTCATCCCTTGTTGCACACAGGTCCAGGCCTTGGTGTGCACATGGGGGAGGCTCTGTTCTGAGGCTCCTGCACCTGAGGGACCGCAGTGTCTTCCTGGAGAGCCACCCTGCTCTCTGTGGACGCTGTCCCTCTTGACCCCCGGTACCGGGGCTTTCTCCGGTGTGCCTGAACTGCTGTAATTTAAAAGTAGTCTTTTTTACTGTCTAAAAGTGAAACCACTTTTACTTCTCGCTAAAAGTTAAATCATTGTTTTGACCAGTTGCACTTCTCATTATACTAGCCCCTCAAAGCCCGTGGTGAAAAATCCGTGAGAATTTTTTATGCAAATACATTGACTGTACAGGCTAATTTGGGAAGAACGGGTGTCTT